GAGTTAAGTCATTTTGACTAACTCACTAGTTACATATGTATATACACAAAAAACTGTAACATGGTAGACATATAAATATATCAGATAGATTCTGGAGAGAAAAATTTTCTATCCTGACACAGTGAACCAATCTTCCGAGCAGCAGACCTAGCAATTAATTCAATATAATCTTTTCACTTCATATCAGCAATGTTAGGTCGAGAAGGAGCAACAAGACACTTTCTGGGGGTCAGCATCAGCCATACTGATAGAAGACAAAAAGGGGTCTCTCAGATGATTAACAGAGAGCAGTTACGTTTTGGACTCATTAAAATTAACAATCCATTCCTTGCCCCAATAAACAGTAGATTGTAGGCCCTGTTTTTAGATCAGCTGCTAATTTGTCCTTATCGAACGGATCAGTACTTGGGACAAGTGGATATTCTAATTGTCATATAGGAAGAAAATATGTAACTACCGACACCGGGGTTCGAGCATGACGCTCTGGACTTATGAATATATGCTTTCCTCCAGGTGTATAAATAGCGGTGTCAGCCTACTGACTGCAGTGATTATTCACTGACAATTGAGTGGAACTATCCAGTCGAATTAGTGTGAATTATTGTGCGTCGATGACTTTGGTTTTCATTTAAGTTTTACCGGACGTTAAGCCGAGACGTATTGGGATGACCAAGGACACATTCCAAAATCTGGGCAGAGTATTGCGAGACAAGAGGATCTCTTTGGTAACAAAGAAGAGAATACTGACATATGTCCTTCTTTACGGCAGCGAATGTTGGACCATTTCTTCAAAGATGAAGAAGAGACTCGAGGCGACGTAGATGTGGTTCTACAGAAGGATGCTAAGGATATCATGCGCAGAGCGTGTGAGTAACGATGAGAGCTTTGAAAGGTCGCAAACAAGGCTTATACTTAACACCAGGAAGAGGCAGCTAAAGTTTCTGTGACACATAATGAGAAAGGAGGGCTTGGAGAAACTGATACTCACGTGTCGAATAGAGGGAAAGAGAGACAAGGGAAAACAACGCGTGATTTACCTAGCGGGCTTAAGCAACTGGATGACAGAACGTGGTCTGGGGGAGGAAGCAGAGGGGAGGAAATTCTTTAGATCTGCAAGGGAATGAGAGATGTGGAGAGCCATGATCGCCTACGTCCTGAAAGGACATGGCACATAAAAAGAAAAGAAAAAAGAAGCAGAACCACGCTACTAACAAGGTATTCAATGAAATGCTTAATTATCTTTGGCTTTTACTTCTTTGTTCTTAAGTATTTATTTGCGGTTGTAATTAAATACTGTTTTATTTAACATTGAAGTCTTGATTTATACAAAACTAGCAGTAGATCCCGGCGTTGCCCGGGGATGTAACAGTAAGAGATAGATCAAGTATCGACCATCATAAAGACTGAAAAATAAAATTGACAAAGATTATTGTTTAAGGTTGACGGACACGCATGTCTTAATTAGTTTTTTTTTTTTTGTTTTGTTTTTTGTTTGTTTTTACGAATTGGTTAAACCCAAACTCAAACAAAAACATTGTTTTCAATCGTTATGAGTCTACCGATTGTTATTATAAACAATTGTCTTATAAATGGAATTTTAAAGCATTCTGAATGTAAAAATAAAGAAAAAAGTGTGCAAGACAATAAGAAACACTACCTGCTAAAAAAAAGTGAAGTTTTGTTGAAATCGGTTGAAAAATGTAGGAAATCCGATCCCATATATAAACGAACACACACACACACACACACACACACACACACACATACATACATAAACAACCTGGGTTTTATAATAAGTTGTCCCCCTTTCATTCTGGCGACAGTGATGCCTCTTAATCGTGTTTTCAAATTGATTTCGTGCAAAAACAATTGTTTTTCCAATTTTTGGCGCTGTCAGAACCACCGCAAGGTAATTTTACGTAGTCCTGTGAAGTTTTGTTGAAATCGGTTGAAAAATGTAGGAAATCGATCCAATATATAAACGTACAGACACACACACACACACACACACACACACACACACAACCTGGGTTTTATAATAAGTATGATTATTAACGGTCATCGTACGTCACAAGACTGATAAAATTTTCAAAGTCCTCAGCAATCTTGTGAAACATGTAGGTCTCATAGCAGTGCCCACATTTTAGCCTGCGATGCATGCTGCAATAGGCTTCAGTGACTGTGGAAGAATCCAGTACAAGCAGTGATCATATGAACATTCCTACACTAGATAGAACCGTATTAACTGGACACATGGTTAGGACAGCTGTTAAAGACCACACGAGGTTCACAGAATAGATCTGAGCTAACGTAGCCCGAGGATTATCAACAGGGATTTTGGCAATTTGTTCTTGCAACAAGTTTATAAGCTTCCAGGCAAATTATTTTTTACTAAACTAAAACCGACGCAAGGCCTAAGAGCTACTCAAGGTAGAGTTTTACTGAATAAGGTGTGTGATATAAACGTAAGAGATATTAGGAATTGAAGCTTATGAGGATATGGAGAATAGATAAATAACCGACATTAGATGAAGAGATTAAGATTGTAGTGCTTGGGGAAGCATCCATGAATCAAACAAAATCGTTCATGTCTCCACTGGTGAAGTGAGAGTGGCAAGTGATGAAAATAGGTTCTATCTTTATGCAAATGATATTCGTTTCTGCATCACAATACTGGTACACAACATCATGCAGAGGATATTCGCACACAACACAAAGGCCCAATTTCTGGAATCATTATAACTTTTAAACCTTTAGCTTCAGTGGCGAAAATATTGAACAGCTCCTTATAATATCCGTTCTTCTCAGCATATTCAGATGTTAATCTATGTTCTGCTTGGCATGCTTGTTTGACCATTCCCCGTTGAAAATGTGGGAAGCACTGGTTATCTGTAGATCCTAACTTTTTTTTTCCATGAAAATGACCAACATTTGTCGAAAGTAACCGAATTATTACACACAATTTCGGCAAGTTTCTACCCGTCACCAATAGGTTATTCGAAAGGAGAAACTCAACAAAAACTTAACGGACATCTGTCGATTCTGCCCAGTAAAATGAATATATATATATATATATATATATATATATATATATATATATATATATATATATTTTCGCTTCCAGCGTCTTGTATGCACGAGTTTGTTGTTGCTTGGAAATCTTCCATGTAAACATAAACATTATTGTTTTGTCCGTGTATTGCTGTATTGTTTTGTCCGTGTATTGCTGTATTGTAATGTAATTGTCAGCTTTGATAATGGCTTATGTAAGCTGAAAACTTAGATAGAATTAAAAAAATATGTATCAACATTGTGATTTTCTTTCTTCTTTTAATGATAATGTTATTAAGCTTATCAGATGATATGAAAAGAATTTACATAAAATAAATAGACAACACTTGTCTATATTATTTAATGAAACATGCATCAATGAAAAAATTCTGCCTAAATACACACAATGTATATATATATATGTGTGTGTGTGTGTGTGTGTGTGTGTGTGTGATAAATGCGAATGTCAGTGTGTCACTGTGTCCCAATTTTTCAACTTTACTCCTAGAGGCCGTAGCCCAATATGTAATACCATTTTGGAATCAAGCCGACTCTGCGAGCAAATTAAAAACATTCCGGACCGGATCCGGACCTGTAATCCTGAAATTTTGGATTACCAAGTTTTCATTACTGCCATTGTTTTCGGATTCCGCCATCTTGGCTTCTACTGATAAAAACAATTAAAGGGACACAACTCTGTAATTTTCAATAGCTCATGTTCCCTAATTACAGTGTTTCAAAATAAAATTGCCCGTATTTTCAACTTTACTCCTAGAGGCCGTAGCCCAGCATATCATACCATTTTATAATTAGGACGACTCCGTGAGCAAATTAAAAACATTCCGGGCGGGATCCGAAATAGCAATCCTGAAATTTTGGATTCCGGAGTTGTCACTATTGCGATTGTTTTCGGCGTTTTTTGTTTATTTTGACGTGATTTTTTTGCGACGAATTTTTTGTACAATAACAATTTTATAATTTGGAAATAAATTTGGGAATAATCGAAATTACGGAATCCAGAAATAAAAATAATTGTCTGTACGGAAAGTAAGGACCTACGTACATAAAAATTTAAATGACGCGGCGGCAGAATTATTATCGTTGAACTTTTAAATATTAATGCAATACTTAAATGCGGCGATCAATTTTGAGATCTGTAGTTTATTGTTGACTATCGCATCTACCCATTGTGATAAAGGCCCAATCAAGAGCCCTCTTAAAGAACCTAGCTTAAATACCCACGACCGGCCGGCCTTTTAAGCTAGTATATATATATATATATATATATATATATATATATATATATATATATATATATATATATATAATTTAATTTAATTAAACTGATTTAAAATATGATTAATTTTATAATATTTATGCTCTGTAAATTTACATTGAGCACTATTTTGTAAAAATAAAAATATCAATAAGAACACTGGATCATATTTCTTACTGTTCTTTCTTTTTACTATAATATATATATATATATATATATATATATATATAGATAGATAGATAGATAGATAGATAGATAGATAGATATGTATATATTAAAAAGACGAGAGACACCGTTTGCGGTTTTCTCTTTTAAAATATACACTTTTCTCTCATTGGAACAACTATAACCTCTTCTCTCTCTCTATATATATATATATACACACACACACACACACACACACAAAATATATATATATATATATATATATATATATATATATATATATATATATATATATATATATATATATATATATATATATATATGCAAATTAATTGAAACAATCGCTTTAGTTTCCTTTCTTTCACCATACGGTCAGTTTTAGACCCACTGGTGTGACAGGGTGTATTCGATTTCTATTTTTCCTCAGATTAGGTCATTTGAAATTTTTTCTGGTAGAAAAGGAAGGAAAAGGTGGTATATAGTCTAGTTGCGTGTGGTAATGACGTTGATGCATAATATCTCAACCAACCCTGAATTGACATGCCGGGTGTAAAAGGTAATATTTTTACTATTTTATGTATGTTTTATTCATTTCTGAATAAGTTTCATTGATTGTGTTGCCGGGCAAAATTCTTAGAAAGGAAAACAGCATGCGGCTTAGATGTTTCAATTTACTAACGATTGAATGTACAGGATTAGCGTCAATGACCACATATCCTGATCAAAATGTACGCAGGCTCCAAAATAAGGGGTTTATCAACTCTACTCAGATTTTGTATTAATACACTATATATCCTCTTTGTGAATTGACGCAGGCCTGTACTCTCGTGTTCAAACGACTCTACAGATGTCGAATACTATCCAGCGATAATTCTCTCGGGTTTCTTGTACATGTTGATGAAATACACCAAGAGTTGTAGATGGGCTAAAGAAACAAGTCAGAAGTCAACCTATCTATCTATCTATCTATCTATCTATCTATCTATCTATCTATCTATCACATTATATTCATTATCTATCTATCTATCTATCTATTATGTTCATATGTACCTATATCTATCTATCTATCTATCTATCTATCTATCTATCTATCTATCTATCTATCTATCTATCACATTATCTATCTATTATGTTCATATCTACCTATATCTATGTTCATATCTATCTATCTATCTATCTATCTATCTATCTATCTATCTATCTATCATGTTCATCTCTATCTATCCATATTCATATCTATCCATATTCATATCTATCATGTTCATATCTATCTATCTATCTATCTATCTATCTATCTATCTATCACATTATATTCATTATCTATCTATCTATCTATCTATTATGTTCATATGTACCTATATCTATCTATCTATCTATCTATCTATCTATCTATCTATCTATCTATCTATCACATTATCTATCTATTATGTTCATATCTACCTATATCTATGTTCATATCTATCTATCTATCTATCTATCTATCTATCTATCTATCTATCTATCTATCTATCTATCTATCATGTTCATCTCTATCTATCCATATTCATATCTATCCATATTCATATCTATCATGTTCATATCTATCTATCTATCTATCTATCTATCTATCTATCTATCTATCTATCTATCTATGTATCATGCTCATATCTATCTATGTTCATATCTATCTATAATGTTCATATCTATCTATCTATCTAATGTTCATATCTATGTTCATATCTATCTATTATGTTCATATCTACCGCTATCTATGTTCATATCTATCCATCATGTTCATATCTATCTATGTATCTATATTCATATCTGTCTACTATGTTCATATCTATCTCTCTATCTATGTTCATAGCTATCTATCGATCGATCTATTATGTTCATATCTACCTATATCTATGTTCATATCTATCTATCATGTTCATGCGTATCTATCTTCTATGTTCATATCTATCTATCTATCTATCTATCTATCTATCTATCTATCTATATATATATATATATATATATATATATATATATATATATATATATCAGCCCTTTACAGGTTATTTAAAACCAGAAAATATCTTTAGAGTGTAAGATTTTTTAGATAATAATGTTTTACAAGCCTTACTAATTAACCTATAGGTATGGTGAAAAGAAGTGGTTCCATGCCTTTCCCAGGGTATTTGCGTGTAAGTATATATATATATATATATATATATATATATATATATATATATATATATATATATAAACAGTTGTAATAAAAAGTGCTCGATACGATGTAGTTTATCGTCTTACACAGGACGCGGATGTAGCTTATCGTCATACCCAGGATGCGGGTGTAGTTCATCGTCTTACTAAGGACGCGGATGTGGTTTATCGTCTTACTAAGGACGCGGATGTAGTTTGTCGTCTCACTCACGACGCGGATGTAGTTTGTCGTCTCACTCACGACGCGGATGTAGTTTGTCGTCTTACCCAGGACGGAGGTGCGAGGTGGGGGGGAAATATTTTGACTTTATTGGTGCGAATGGTAGCGAATGTAGACTTTTTTTTTTTTTAATGAAAATGATTAATATTCTGGCGGTGGTGGGATCAGTGATTAAAATGCTGAGGGTGGTTTTTGTTGGGTGAGCGGTTGAATGTTTAGTTATCATTAGTATCATTTTGGTGATGCTGATGGTTGTAGTGGTGGTTTTGGATGATGATGATGATGATGATGATGATGATGATGATGATGATGATATGATGATGATAGACAAAGGAAACGTTATCAGAGTTGGAATTTTTGAAAGGGCGGAAAATGAAGTATGAAACAAGTATTTAAAAAAAAAAAAAGTTTACAAGAAAAATATGTTGAATCAAAGAACAAACTAAATCGAATCAAAAATAAAATAGGTTTTGGATCGCCGATAAAAGATGGAGATGAAAGGCTTTGGTGATGGGGGTGTGAAAGATGAAAGTTAAATTGACTTATTTCTCAGTTTCTTACTCCATACCTTTCACTGCTATCTTTCTGTAATATTTTCTTTCTTTTCCGCTCCTTCTCTCTTGTATCTCTCCTTGCTCTTTATCCTTACTTTCTCTAACTCCCACTCATTATATCTTTCGTTTCTCTCTCTCTCACTTTTTCTCACTTTCTTCTTCTCTCCCTCTCCCTTGTATCTCTCCTTCCACTGTACCCTTTAACTCCCACTGGTTATCTCCTTCATTTCTCTCTTTCTCCCTTTCTCTCTTTCTTTCTTTTTTTCCTCTCTTTTTTTTTCACTCCGTTTTCTTTTTCTTTTTTCTCTTTCTTTATCTTCCTCGTTTTCTTTTTCTCGCTTTCTTTTTCGCTACATCTGATTTTCTTTTCCTTCTCTTTCTCGCCTTTTCTTTCTTTCTTTCTTTCTTTCTTTCTTTCTAGAACACTTTTTTCTATTTTCTTACTTTCAAATTCTTTTCCCGCCCACTCTCTTTTTTTCCACTTTCTTCTCTCTAATATTTCTCTACCTTTCTTTTTCGTCTGCTGTCTCTCTTTCTTCTTGTCTCCTACTCTCTCTCTCTCTATCTCTCTTTCTCTATCTCTCTCTTTCTCCCTTTCATTTTTTATGACAACCGAATTATGTAAAAGAACATAAACGCATAGAGTGTAAAAGACAGCAATTGGAAATTTTAAAAAACGCATGGATGAAATAGGGAGGAATGATGATTAATAAGAATTTGGATTAGTGACATAACTGGTTAGATAGATAGATAGATAGATAGATAGATAGATAGATAGATAGATAGATAGATAGATATGAACAAACATATATAGAAAGAGGTAAGAATTGATTTGAACAACTTTTCAAGTGTCTGAACTGTGATAGAAGAGCAAGGTTATTTTGCAGTCGTCATCCGCCGAGCAACATGTACGTCATGAAATATATATTTGGTATGCTCAAACGAATTAGACGCTTACATTATTTTATTTCCACTAGATAAATTAATTACAAAAATGCTTTGAATTAAATTTTTAGAAAATAAAATTAAAAGAGAAGAAGCAGAAGAAGAAAAAGAAAAAGAAAGAAAGAAAGAAAGAAAAAAGAAAGAAAGAAATGAAGAAAGAAAGGAAGGAAGAAAGAATATTAATAAAAAGAAAGAAAGAAGGAGGAGAAGAGGAGGGATTGAGGAGGATGATAGAAAGAAAAAGAGAAAAGTATAAGAAAACCAAGATGAAGAAAAACTATTAAAAAAGAGGTAAAAATAAATAAAGAATAAGAAGAAAGAGGTTAAGAAGAAGAAGAAGAAGAAGAAGAAGAATGAACGTGAGAGTGAAAAAAGAGAGATAAAAGAAAGTGGGAAATACAAATCTCAAAGAAGAAAGACAAGGAAATGAACAGAGAAGAGGAAGATTTAGAAAGGAGATTTATTATTATTATTATTATTAAACAAAAGAAAGACTTTAAAAAAGGAGAATAATGGGATGAATAATAATGGCTGAATTTGAAGAAACCTAAGGAATGAAAGACGTTTAAGGAATAAAGATAAAAAGTGAAGAAAGAGAAGAATAGAAAATACAAGAAACGAAGAGAAAAAGTTAGACAGCAAGTTAAAAAATATATCCTCATTTGATGAAAGATAACAAGAGAAAAAGAAGGTAAAAGTTGCGTTTTAAATAAAAAGAAGGAAGAACGTGGGGAGAAGAAAATATCTTTTTAACAAAGGGAATTGAATGGCAAAAAGTAAGGCTACAAAAACGTGGATTATGAAAAAAGAAGGGTCACTAAATAGGCCTAAGATTTTGCTGTTTAAGTCTAAAGAAAGGAAGAGGAAAAGCGAACAACTACGAAAAAAGAAGATAAGGATAAAAAAGAATAGAGAATAAGCAGAATAAAGAATAGCGAAAGTTTTAAAAAAAAGTCGAAGAAAAACTAAACAGAAGAAAAAAAAAGAAATAATTCATTAAAAAAGAGAGAAATACAGAAAAAAATAAGGGAAATAGAGATACAGATGAAAAGGGAGAAAGAAAGAGACATTAAAAAGACAAAAAAGAAATAGAAAAAGACAAGAATGAAGAAAGGTGAATCAAAGAAATGAAAAAAAAGAAAAGAGATGGAGAGAGAACAATAAGTAAGCCAAAGCGAAGAAAAAAGAGAAATAAAAGAAAGAGAGGAAAAAACAAGAGTAAATCAAAGAAAAGTGAAAAAAAAAAAAAAAAGAAACAAAAGAACGAAATGTAAATGAAAGAATTAAAAAAGGGAAAAATGAGAGAAAGAAAGATGAAGAGTAAATCAAAGAGAAGAAAAAAGCAGAAAAAAGAAAGAAAAATGAATTCAAGAAGAACAAAGTGTAAATGAAAGAAAGGAAAAAAGAAAACAGAAATAGAAAAATAAATGATAGGTAAATGAAAGAGAAGAAAAAGGTGAAAAAGAAAACAAAGGTGACTTAAAAAGAAGAAAGAAAGGAAAAAAGAAATATGAGAGCGAGAAGAAGGAAGGGTAAGAAAAAAGAGAAAAGAACGAGAAAAGAAAATAGGGTAAATGAAAGAGAAGAAAAAGGAAAAAAGAAGGAGTCTAAATGAAAGAGGAAAAAAGAGAAAAAAGAAAAGAGAGTAGAACGAAGTGTAAATTAAAGAGAAGATAAAAAAAGAGAAAAAAGGGAGAAAAAAAAGGAAAACAAAATGAGAAAAGTAAAAAAAAAAATGCCGGGTAAATAGAAGAATAAAGGGAAAAGATGGCGAAAGAACGAATGGTGAATGAAAAAGAAAAAGAAAAAGTAAAATTGAAAGACGAGGATTAAATGAAAGAGTAAAAGAAAGGAGTGAAAGAAAGGGAGAAGGAGGAAGAGTAAATCAAAAGAAAGGAAAAAGAGGACAAAATGAAAGAAAGACGAGGGTTAATTGAAAAAGAAAGAAAGGAGAAAAAAGAAGGAAAAGGAAAGAGAAAAGCGAAGTGTAAATGAAAGAGAAGAAAAAGGAGAAAAGGGAAAAATGACGGAATGAAAAAGGGAAGATAAATCAAAGCGAAGGAAAAAAAAAGAGAGAAAAATGAGAAAGAGAACGAACAGTAATCAAAGAGGAGAAAAAGAAAGAAAAGAGAAAGTGATAGAAGAACGAAGAGGGAAAAAGAGAAAAAGAGTGAGAAAATTGGGAAAAAGAAAAACAGAGTATAAATCAAAGAGAAGAAAAAAAGAGAAAGATGAATTGAGTTACTCTTCGTTCATCCCTACTCTCCCCCTCTCTCTCTTTATCTCTATCTATCTAGCGATTTTCCAAGTGTAGCTTAGATGTGGCACAAGGCCGAATGTATGGGGAACCCAGTGAGGATTGAACTCACTATTCAGTCGTAATTGTTCTAGCCAGACAAGCTGGCTAAACATTACACCACTTTGATTGATCGATCTATCTATCTATCTATCTATCTATCTATCTATCATCTATCTATCTATCTTGTTCAAAGAGAAGAAAAGGTAGAAAAAACGATAGAAGACTGATGTGTAAAAGAAAATAGAAAAGAGCAAATGAAAGAGAACATCTGAAAAAAATAGAAGGAAAACTAATAAATTAAAGGAAAAAGAGACAAGAAGAAGAAGAAGAAGAAGAAGAAGAAGAAGCATGAGGAGGAGGGGGAGAATAAAGAAAAGGAAGGGATCGATGTAGAGACAAAGGAATGTGCTGACAGATGTAGGACATTGAAGCATAATAGAAATAACTTGCTCAAGAGGAGTGAAGTTAGGCAAAAAAGACGAAGCAATTCCGGAATTGAGGCGAACATCAAAGAGAGCGGTATATATACTTTGTCCTTTGAAGATGCACATCCGATGCACGCTTTACGCACACACAAGGACACACATGCGCACGCGCACATTTACGCAAAGACAAACCACTAAGAAAGAAAGGCAAAAAAAATTATAGAAATGCACATTGCTACAGAGCGTAACAAAGACAAAGTGCGGGCGAAATATTTATAAACATATATAATGCCACACTTGTGAGCAATCAGACTATATCTATAGATTAACATGCATTTTTTTGTCAGGTATATGGCCAGTAAATCGAGGGGGATGTTTTACTACGCCGATCTTCCAAATGGGAGAATACCAGTCCCCCGTTGAAGCCCGGTATTCGAATCGTTTTTTTTTTTCATAGGAGTTCATAAATCAACTTCAGGCTTTTCCTGACGTCACCAGTGGTACTAATGTTTCGTTTGTTCTCGCGTGTTACCATACACATGGTATGATTGAGGATAGAGTAACATGTAGTGTAATTTTATGTATTTTTAGATTTTATGACAAAGATGCGCAGAAAGGATTAGCGATTATCGAGGAAGCGATATAATCCGCCTGTACTTGTCGATAGAACCAATCATCAGACGCATCTATCAGGTCATCCCATAAGTTCTGTCCGAATTTTGAATAAAGAAAACAAGTGACCAAATGTTACATTTAATTACAGAGTCAATCAACAATGTATTTTCCCTGATTATCTATGACTTCCTTCCATCTATTAACAAGCTTACTAATTCCAATACTGTAAAATTCTTTTGGCTTTGATTCGAAGAACTCGAAAATGTCAGTTTTAACCTCTTCCTGTGTTACAAAATCTGTTTCTTCCAAATGATTCTGTAAGCTACGAAACAAATGGTAGTCTGAAGGAGCAAGATCGGGAGAATAAGGTGGATGAGGAATTTTCTCCCAACCAAGTTCTTTTGTGACGTGATTCTTGCTGCGTCACGCATTGTCCTGATGAAACATCACCTCTTTTCGATTCACTAGAGCAGGTCTTTTTCCTCAAAGCTTGGTTCAAACGCTCTAATTGCTGACAGTATATTTGAGCATTAATTGTTGCATTAGGTGGTAAGAATTCAAAGTGGATTATTCCTTGGTAATCCCACCAGATTGAAAGAAGAACATTTTGCCCATGAAATTCCTTTCTCGGCTGTGGCTGGGGTCCTTCCCCTTTACCAAGCCACTGTCTACGACGCTTAACACTTCAATATGCGCCTATTTTTCCATAAGATCCATTTTTCGTCGCCAGTCACAAGTCTATCCAAAAAAGGTGAAACAAGTTGGTGAGAATGGAGAGAAGAGCAGATGTCAACTCGGGATTTGAGGTTGTTTTCAGACAATTCATGAGGCACCCATTTTCCAAGTTTAGGAACTTTTCCAAGTTGTTGAAGATGACGATGATCAGTTGTATGGTTTGAACTGAGAACCAATGCCAATTCCTCAAATGATAAAGCAGGATTTTCTTCAAAGGCTGCTTCAAGAAGCTTTTCATCAAACTCAACTGGACGTCCGGTTTGATCTTCATCTTCAAGGATGAAATCTCCACCTCTGAATTTTGCAAACCATCTTCTGCAAGTTCTTTCATTCACACATTCCTCTCCATAAACTGAATGAATGTTTCTAGCCGCTTCGGCTGCTGAGTTTCCTTTCTTGAACTCATAAAGCATTATGTGCCTCAAATGATTCTTGGATACTTCCATGTTAGCAGGGTTTTAATCAAACAAAATTTAATTTTATTGTTCTCTGAAATAAAATTTGATCAGTTTAAATGCATCTAAACATAAAAATGATGTTCAGCTCCATTAGACATTATAAAATACTCTTTAAATTTCGTTCATTTTAACAAAAAATTCGGACAGAACTTATGGTATGACCTGATATATATATGAACGGAATTTTTATTTTGATATATATATATATATATATATATATGTGTGTGTGTGTGTATATATATATATATATATATATATATATATATATATATATATATATATATATATATGTGTGTGTGTGTGTGTGTGTGTGTGTGTGTGTGTATATATATATATATATATATATCGGACAGAACTTATGGGATGACCTGATAGTTGCCTTTCAACAACTCAACAACATGTGCAACTTTTCTGTAAAAATATCAAATTCTTTTCAAAATAAGTGTTTTGCCGATCAGTTCTGACGAAACAAAGGTGGGCACCTCAAGGTGGTGTAATGGTTAGCATGAGTGTCTCGCTAGGACAGTTACGACTGAGTAGTGAGTTCAATCCTCACTGGGCGACCCCTTACTTTCGGCCTTGTGCCACATCCAAACTACGCATAGAAAATCACTATCGAAGCAAAGAATCATTATTTTGCGTGGTCACTGAATGTGAAACTTCTCAGTACATGTATGCTTTTCAAAAGATCTAAAATTTTAAAATATATAAAATATATATATATATATATATATATATATATATATATATATATATATATATATATATATATATATATGCAAATCCATCTTTCATACGCATTTCACTGAAAACGGACACACGGTGCTTTTATTTAGTTTTTATACAATCTTTCATGCGATCTAATAATTTTTTTTCTTTTCGGATGATAAATTATAAAAAAGACTCTTTTGAAAAATGAAAACATTTTATAAAACATACATACAACAAACTATTTCTTATTTTAACAGTTAAAATATAACCCTTGAAAGTGGCTAAATGTATAGTCGAAAGCGCTCGGTTAAAAAGAACATTCGGACAGTTTTTATATAATTTAACACCCGAAAAGAAATAAAATTATTAGATCGCATGAGAAACTGTATAAAAAACTAAATAAAAGCGCTTTTTCTGTTGTTTTCAATGAAATATATATATATATATATATATATATATATATATATATATACACAAGGTATAGGATTGGTGTATACGGAATAAATTCCAATAACCAAAAGATACTATTCTTAAAAGAGTGCTCAATACAGAGTAGAGCAAATATAATTATGCATTCGAAAATTATAACATAAATATGTTAGAAAACCACTACAAAAATAGTCATTTTGTTTCAATCAAGTGGTGTCTTATCAAGTGATGGAAGACATCAGAAGTGTTGAAACAAAATGGCTATTTTTGTAGTGATTTTTTAACATATTTATGTTATAATTTTCGAATAGATAATTATATATATATATATATATATATATAAACAAGGACTTGTACCTACAGAAATAAAACATAGATTTGAACAAAATAAACCTCATTTTTTATACCTTGAGAATCCTTTTGACCAACGCTTTTTCAAAAGGTATTCGTTGGCGATATGCAAAAACAATAAAGACACATTAATAATCTCCAAGAATTCCCAGGGTGGTTTTCGATTTTAAAGAATTCTTAAAAGTCTTGTTTTATTGCCAAATGCTGTGGGGGCGCATGTTGTTTCGATTTTCTCTGTAGCAGTCACTTCTAAATTTGCATGATGGTCACTCGATTGTTGATCTTGCAGGGAGACAGGCAAATTTTGACCTTCAGTAAACCGTAACGAACGTATAAAATACTCCTTTTTTTGCATAGACTCGGCTGGAAGAATTTGATATTCAAAGCCTCGAGGATTTTTTATTTTGTTCAAATATATATATATATATATATATATATATATATATATACCCTTGTGGAAATTAATTGAAACAACCGCTTTAGTTTCCTTTCTTTCATTATACTGTCAGTTCTAAACCTATTGGAGTGACAGTGCGTTATCGATTTCTATTTTTTTTTTTCCTCAGATTAATTCATTTGCAGGGGTGTGCAGTAAAATGAATCTATTTTCTTGGTGTGTGATGAAATTTGTTTGGTCTTCAAAACATTGCGTCATGCGTGATTGCACCAGATTTTTTCACGCCCAGACACTATTGTCTCGACTGTCGATTAGTTGTCGTATGGCCATTGTCTGCGATGTACGTTACTCCAATGCAGCGTACCAAAATTGTAACGCGGCACGAACACAACGGCAAGCCTTACCAGTGGGAAAATCGAAGTACTAGACTGGCCTGGAAACTCTCCTGATTTAAATGCAATCGCGAATCTGTGGTCAATCTGCAAGGAATGACTTCGTGGAAGGGACATACGAAGTACTAACATGTGCAATGGGTCATGTTTCATTGAAATTTACGGAAAAAAGTAAATAATAACGGAATTATTCGTTTTGTTTCAATTAATTTGCACAGGGGCATATATATATATATATATATATATATATATATATATATATATATATATATATATAAAATTTATTTAACCAGTAGAGAAGATACATATATATATATATATATATATATATATATATATATATATATATATATATATATATATATATATATTCATTGGTTTTACCCCATGCAAGGTAGTAAAACCACTAAGAAACAAGGGGTTACAGAGTGGCGAAGAATTAGGAACGGAAACATTAATAATGAGCGGGAAGAGGAAAGAGTAGTCAGGAGAAGAGTAAATAGTGATTGATATTGAATTTAAAGTTTTTCAGATCAAAGTTGGCTGGAAATAATAGAACTTAAAGGGTGTGCCACAAGCGAGCGAGAGAATGGTAGACTTATAGACATGTAAGATAGATTCTGGAGAGAAAAACTGACTCGCACGATTCAGTAAACCAACTTTCTTAGCAGCTTGACTTAGCAATGGATTCAATATGGTTTTTCCACTTCATGTCAGCTGAGAACGTTAGCCCAAGAAGGTGCAACGATTCATTTTCCTGGAAGTTAGCACCAGCCATTCTGATGGAAGACAACAAGGGTTCTCTCAGATGGTTAATGAGGACAAGTTTAGTTTTGGAGGCGTTGACCAGTTAAGTATTTATTTAAAAATATAATTCCATCGCTACATAAGAGTTCTCATGTTTCAAAACAAGAGCCGAAA